CGGGTCATCGGGATCCTGTAACTGTCGTCACTTTTGAGCTCCCCAGGCCTAAAAATGGAGGAAGTCTCAAGCGGGAGCCTCGTCTGTGAGTGAATTGGGAGGCGGGAGGAAGTCTCAGGCGGGAGCTCCCTCCCTATGGGGCCCGCAGATCATGTTGGTAATCCGAGCGGGTCATCGGGATCCTGTAACTGTCGTCACTTTTGGGCTCCTCAAGCCTGAATTTGGAGGAAGTCTCAGGCGGGAGCCTCGTCTGTGAGTGAATTGGGAGGAAGTCTCAGGCGGGAGTTCCCTCCCTATGGGGCCCGCAGATCACGTTGGTAATCCGAGCGGGTCATCGGAATCCTGTAACTGTCGTCACTTTTGGGCTCCTCAAGCCTGAATTAGGAGGAAGTCTCAGGCGGGAGCCTGTCTGTGAGTGAATTCTGAGGAAGGCTCAGGCGGGAGCCCCCTCCCTATGGGGCCCGCAGATCATGTTGGTAATCCGAGCGGGTCATCGGAACCTTGTAACTGTCGTCACTTTTGGGTTCGTCAAGCCTGAATTTGGAGGAAGTCTCAGGCGGGAGCCTCGTCTCTGAGTGAATTGTGAGGAAGTCTCAGGCGGGAGCTCCCTCCCGCATGGGGCCCGGAGATATGTTGTCCGAGCGGGTCATCGGAACCCTGTAACTGTCGTCACTTTTGGGCTCCTCAAAGCCTGAATATGGAGGAAGTCTCAGGCGGGAACCTCGTCTGTGAGTGAACTGCGAGGAAGTCTCAGGCGGGAGATCGAGGCGCGGGCGCGGAACTTGCTGATGTTCAGGCCCAGCGAAAGGGAGTTCACATGGCAGAGCTCGGGGGCGCACAGCGTGCGCCGCTCGGGGTTCACCCTGACGCACGCGTCCTACCTGACCTCCACGCTGTCGCAGGGCCAGACGCTGCGCAAGGGCGTCACCATCGACTGCGAGAGAGACGAGGACGCTGGCCGCACGGGCATGTCGGACGAGCAGTGGTGGCTGCACCTCTACGTCATGTTCTCCCGCGCCACGTGCATGCGGAACATGCTGATCCTGCGGCCGCCGCCGCGAGAGTTCCTGGAGTGCGGGCCGCCGGCGTCCCTGCGGAAGGCGCTCCTGGAGTTCGACAAGAGAGCGGTTTTGTCCAGGGCGGAGGCGAAGCAGCTCGCGGCAGAGCTGGGCTTCGTGCTGCCTTCCGCCTGAGCGCGGCTGCGCCTCGCTCGAAGCCCGCGGGGTTGTCCCAACGGCTTGGTCTTGCGCGCCAACGGCTCGCGGGGTTGTCCCGACAGCCTGGCCCGCGGGGTTGTCCCAACGGCTGCGCGACGTGACCAGTAGAGAACGCGCCTGTGCTGGCCGTGGCGGCGACGGCGCCGAGGAACATCGACATGCGCGCTCATGCAACAGGAAGGGGAGGAGGTGGCGGGGCGCGGAACAAACAGGGGGGCGAGGATGGGGACAACGTAAGGAGTGGAAGGGGGGCCCGCGCCAAGGCGAGAGGAAATATACGCAGAAGAGACAGCCAGGACGCCTCACCAACCACGAGGACGACGGTGATGGCTTTTTCCAGATTCGCCCAGAGGATTCTTATGTGGGGTTCTTCCGTCGGAGTAATTTTCGGGGGGTATCTGTAGATGTTGGTATCTGTTTGGAAGAACCAACAACCATGCCGTGGCATGGCGCTGAAAATAATGACGCCAGCGCTGCAGCGGAGACACGATTCGGAACGCGAGGTAGCCCGATAATTAGCCGAAATGAAACTGCAAATCCGGTGTAACAAAAACAATACGCGGAAGGGGCCGCATATTTCCCAGACGTCACCAGAGGAGAGAGGAGAGTAGTACTCATGTTGTGTAAGTGTGGAGGGAACGGAACAGCAGCGTTGATAGACGCAGGTGCTGAAATCTCGTTCTCGCATCCCCGATGTGAGTTTTTCGACGGTCAGTGCGAGTAGCTTTTCTGGCCGTCTTCCATTGGTGCAACATTGGCCACAGGTCGCGGGCCTCCCAGGCACTGAGGCCCCACGAGGTAAGACATTGCACTCGAGGGAGAATGGACGGCTGGGCCGGGGAGATTGGAGAGAGAGGGCAGTAGAAGAGAGGCGGGGGAGGGAAGAGGGCGGAGGGAAGGAGAGGGAAGAGAAGAGGGATGAGAGAGGAACAGGGAAGAAAAGGGATGGAGAAACGTGAGGAGGGGGACGAATGAGAGGAGATGGAAGGGAGGGGAAGAAGGGGGGAGGAGGGCGGGGAGAAAGGTGGAGGGGACGAATTGGAGGGAGAAGGGCGGGGGGAAAAGGAAGGAGTGACGCAAGTAGGGGGGGTAGGGGACGAAGGGGGGGCGGTGGGAGGGAGAACGGCTCATGCCACAAGGCGAAAGTGGCAGAACATTAGATCGGTGTGTGTGTGTGTGGCAGAAGGCGATCACGGATGCCATTTCCCAGCAGCACATACATCTTAATATATGTGTGTATATATACGCAGAACTTACTCCAGATCCTTCACTAAGCACCCCCCCCGTGCCAACCTGTCCGACGCCCCTTGCCCGACCCCCCAAGCGCCCCAAAGGCACCCCCTCTCGCCACAAACGTCTTTCGAATCGTCGGAGGCACCGTTTCGAACTCGGCCCTCGCCGTGCTGATCCGTTTGATGACCGATGCAAGAAACAAATACGTCAATGGTCATTGGCGCCTAAAGGCCCTCCCCCTGGCCTTCACCAGGGAAGACCGTTGGAAAACTATGATTCTAAAGTAGAACACCTGCAAGAGGAGGGAGAGAGGGGGAAATGACAACGCGGCGGAACGACGACGGAGGGCCACTGCGACATAACACATGAAGAGGAGAACCTAAATATTCCCCGAACAGTGCTGACACTTATGGGTTCTCACTTGTTTGTCTGAGAGAACTGGGCCTGACCGTCGATTTGGCGGCTGCGTCGCCGTCGCCGCCCTGTCGCCGCCGCGTCGCCGCCCTTCGTCTGGGCCTGACCGTCGGTCTGGCGGCTCCGTGGTCGCCGTCACCGCCCCGTCGCCGCCCGTCGTCTGGACCGGACCGTTGGTCTGGCGGCTCCGTGGTCGCCGTCGCCGCCCCGTCGCCGCCCGTCGTCTGGGCCGGACGGCTTCTTGGGCCGTGGGCCCAGGGTGGGGGCGGCACCGCGGCCGCTGCGGACAGGGATGTGGCGGCGTGGTCCTCGCCTTTGTCGGGCGGGGCGGCGCGTGGGACAGGCTGATTTCTTCCGGGAAGACCGTTTTAGCAGCCACGGATTTGCCAGCACTCGCCGAGCCTCCGATCTGTGCCCCATTCGCTCCACGGCAGGCTCTGTCGTGGCTTGGCCGCAACTCGGACCCGAGGCGCCGCAGGCCAAAAAGTTCGTCGACGTCGTTGAGTTTTCGCCCTGCTCCAAGATGGGGTCCGAGAAGATGGGGTCGGGAGATCGCGCTGCATCGCCGATGCATCGGCCGTGCATCGCCGATGCATTGGCGATTCACCGCCGACGTCGGCGATGCATCGGCGCCGTCTCCGTGGAGGAAATCGAGCTCCGCATCGAGCCGCATCAGCGATGCGTCGGCGATGCGGCGCGATCCTCCGACCCCATCTGGGAGGCCCAGACAAGGGCCAAACCTGAACGGTACATGTCGTTTTCGCTTTGCTTTCGCTTCCCCTCGTGCTGTTTTCAATCCGCCTCTACCGCAAACCGGAGTCGAAACGAAAACGGCACACGAAATCGCCAAAACACCGTTTAGGTCCACCCCTGGCCTGGACCATCTCCTCCGTCGCTGTTTGCTCGTGAGTCGGGGGCAGCCAAGAGAGGGGCGTCCAAGAGGGGGGGGAGCGCAACTCATGGCCGGCGGCATGTGCGCGGCCCAGGGGGGGGGGCCAGGGACGTAATGAAAGAAGAAGAAGAGGCGCCATGAAATCTGAGTAAATATCATGGCCCACGCCATGATATCCCCCCCCCTGGTCATCACCCCCCTCTTTGCCGCCCCTGAGTGAGGCGGCCCCCCCCGGGGATCTCGACCCCTCCCCCGGGGCAGGCTCCTCGCCGTGCCTCGTCCCGCGGACGGCCCCCTGGGGCGGGGAGGCGGCCCCTGGATGCCGAAAGCGGCAGAAGGCCGGCTGGCGCCATCTCTGCCCATGCCCGGATTCACGTCGGCGGCGAGCGAGGGGGGGGGGAGGTGAGGAGGGGCACGTCCTTCTCAGAAGGTTCGGAAGTCCCTTGGCCTTCTGAGACGTTTTCTCAGCCTTCCCCGAAGACACGCCTTAGCCTGACGAAGGACCCAGCCATATGCAGCTGCGCGTGCTGCATTGTGGGTGCCTTTGGTGGAGCTCCCTATGGGGCCACGAAACGAGCGAGGGGTGCGCCGAAATCGGTTGCGTTGACGCATGCGGTCTGTGCCACTGGAGCCTTCGGTGGAGCTCCCTATGGGGCCACGACGCGCTGTCCTGGGTGGCGTTGACGCATGCGGCCTGTGCCAATGGAGCCTTCGGTGGAGCTCCCTATGGGGCCACGACGCGCTGTCCTGGGTGGCGCTGACGCATGCGGCCTGAGGCGGATGGGAAGGGGGGGGAGGAGGAGGAGGAGGAGGAGGAGGAGGAGGAGGAGGAGGAGGAGGAGGAGGACGAGGAGGAGGAGACGCGGGGCGCTGTCTCCTCAAACCGAGGACCCAACACCACAGGATGGTTTGGGAAAAACTTCTCAGAAGGCGCGAGGGCTTCTGAGGAGTCCCGCCGCCTTCTGAGAAGGCATTCTCCTTCTTATTTCCCCCCCCTCGCTCGCCGCCGATCAAGGAGCAATACTGCTCGGGTTCGGGGGACTCGGGTTGGCTTGACGAGGCCCTCAGAAACATGACGAAACAACATTGTGAATTTGACGCATGCTCCCGCTGCAAACACCCCAGGACAACTGGCCAATCAAGGTTCAGAACGGGCCCGTCAAAAACCGTCGGCAAACCCGAGTTCCGGCGAACTCGAGTCTTACTTACGTTTCCCCGACAGATCTGAGGGCTCCCCGCGTCGCCTGCGTAGCTGCCGTACCTGCTGCCGTGGTAGGCGCGGATCAGCGGCGCCAGCGGCCGCAACACGCCCTCGCGGAGCACTGGGGTCCGCAGCAGCAGGCCGAGCCCGTACGGAACCGCGGCCACCTCCCCCGCCGCCCCGCTGCCGCTGCATCCGGCGCGGCTGCCGCACAGAGGCCGCCCTGGATCGCAGATCGAGCAATGCGCTTGCGCGATCGAGTCGGGGGCCTGGCCCGTAGGAGACCGCGGCCACCTCCCCCGCCGCTAGGGCGCGGCAGCCGCCCAGGAGCACCATCGGGTCTTAGGTGGCAGCTCCTGGGCAGCCTCGGTGGGAACGGATATACCTTCATCTGTGACCATATATATATATATATATGGCGGTTTCCCGTTTGCTTTGTCACAGGCATCTTGGTCCCCGGTGTCCCCCGGCGCCGGGGGCGACCCCGACAAGGCCTTCCTCGCGGCCACTTTCAAACGTAAAACCTTTGCAATGACTTCATGTCATCAGCTCCTCTTTCTGTTGATGCTCATTTGGAAATTCTTCGGGAAAGCGCTCGGGCCCCAGGTTCTCTTTGCGTTGTCGGGTCTTTGGTCCTAGACTGGAGGGGTGGCGAGGAGGAGGAGGAGGAGGAGGAAGAGGATGAGGAGGACGGGGATGTGGAGCGCTTCGCTAGAGACATTCTCACAAACTGGGGATGTTGCATACGTTGGTTCTCAAACTTGAAGCTTTTGCCAGAGAACTCCACCGACAAACAAAATATTGGAGATCGAACGTCGGATATTCAACATGCTGCGGAGGAACGTTTCGGCTGGGACATCCTCACAACACGGGGATGTTGGAGGAGTTGTTGTTCGACGCTGGTTCGCTGGTTCTCAAACGTGAGGCTTCCGCCTGAGACGTCATCCGAAAAATGAGATGTTGGAGATCGGACCTCCGATATCGAACGCGTTGTGGAGGAGCGTTTCGCTCGAGACATCCCCACAGCATGGGGATGTTGGAGGAGTTGGCTTGCGCTTACGACGTTGGTTCTCAAAGATGCAACTTTCGAAAAGGACACCCTGAAACAACTGAAATGCTGGAGATCGGACGTCGGATGTCCCAAATGGTGTGTAAGAGGGGTCGCCTCACAACATGGTGAGGTTTGAGGATTGTTGCTCGGCGTTGGCTCTTTTCAAAACCCATTTTCGCCTGAAGCACCCTCAAAACTTGAATGTTGGAGATCGGGCGTCGGATATCCCAAATGGTGTGGGAAGGGCGGGGTGGGGGCCGTTTCGCCTGAGACATCCTCACACAATGGGGATGCTGGAGGAGATGTGTTGCCGACGCTGGATCTCAAAGCTGAAGCTTTCGATTCGGGAGATCCAACATGGTGTGGGGGGTCGCTTCGCCTGAAACATTTCCACAACATGGAAATGTCGAAGGAAAGTTTTTATGAAGCAGGTTATCACACATAAAGTTCGCTGACCATATCACTTCGAATGAGGATGTCTGCAGCGAAACGCCTCGCCACACCGAGTTCGACATCCAACGACCGAACTCACTATTTCATTTGTTTGGGGGTGTCACATGCAAAACTTCACTTTTGACAGACGGCGTAGCAACGCAGCGCCTCTAACATTCCCACCAAACGAAGCTGTCTCAGGCGAAATGCCCACACCGCACCATGTCAGATATCAGGTGCCTGATCTTCAACATATGATTATCCAGAGGATGTCTCAGGCGAGAACTCTCGATATGTTCAACGAGCTCCTGAATGCGACGTACCTTCAAAAACCTTACTTTCGTTTGATATACACTCGCAAACTGAAGCGCCACCAGAGAACTCTGACAGCGTGTGCTGTTTACGTGCGTTCCTTGCAGAATTCGTGGGCCCCTCAAATTTCTTATCATATTTTTACGCACGCGCCTCGCAGTGCGGTCCCGCCGGGGAAACCTCTGTGGGCAGGGTGGCTCACCGATCTCATCTGTGGGCAGCATCTCCCCTTCACCTCCACTGTGCCGCCGTTGGGGCTGCCGCCTCTGAAAAATGGTGCCCCGGCCCGCCGGGCGACCCTGACGCCCAGTTTTTTTTTTTTTTTTTTTTTTTTTTTTTTTTTTTTTTTTTTTTTTTTTTTTTTTTTTTTTTTTTTTTTTTTTTTTTTTTTTTTTTTTTGTTTTTTTTTTGTGTTTTTGTTTTTTTTTTGTTGTATATTTGATTATAATGATTCTTTTGTTTGGTTTTAAGTTTTTTATATTAAAAAATAAAACAATAAAAAAAGAAATATATGTATACATGTGTAAACATACCCATCATGAATATATATATATGTGTCTATACACACATATATATATATATGTATATGTATATATATATATTCCATACATACACATATATGTGTATATATGTATAACGAACCATGCTCGTTACACATTATATATTATAGTATATATTCATGTAAATGAACATGTATACACACATATACATACATACATACATACATACATACATACATACATACATACACGCATGCATACATACATACATACACACAGGCATACATACATACAGACACACACCTACATACATACATACATACATACATACATACATACATACATACATGCATGCATGCATACATACATACATACATACATATGCGCACACGCACATATATATATGTATATATATATATGTATGTATATATATATATGTATATATATATATATGGTACCCCCCGCAAGGGCCTACCTCATTCTTGTGCGTGAAAGAGAACCGCTCTTGTTGCTTGGGGAGGGAGGCGGTGAGGTGACCTACCTCATTCTGGCTTTTCTTCTTCGCCTCGTCGTGTAGGAGGAGGAGGAGGGAAAAAGGAAGAGAGGAGGAGCAGAAGCAGCAACATAATAAAGTAACCAAAAAATGGAATGCGGAGAAGGATTTCATCAGAGGAGGAAAACGGAGGAAGGACGAGGACGAGGAGGAGAAGGCTCTCGCCTGAAAGGTCCCAAAAACATACGAACAGAAGGAGGCTCCCACCTGAGAGGTCCCCAAAACAACCAAACAAGATGAGGCTGCCGCCTGAAAGGTCCCAAACAAAAACCAAACAGAAGGAGGCTCCCGCCTGAAAGGTCCCAAACAAACCCAAACAGATGGAGGTTCCCGCCTGAGAAGTCCCCCAAAAAACTCAAGAAACCCAAACACCATGCCTCTCATCCCTGTAACTGTCCCAAAACACATAAAAAAAACACAGTTCCAGAGGAGATGGCGGCACTCGTCAATGCATCTGGGGCAGCGGCGTCGGATCTCTCCTGGCTTTTTGGGTTTTGTTATTTGTTTTTGACAGTTGCAGGGATGAGAGGCATGGTGTTTGGGTTTCTTTGGGTTGTTTGGGGACTTCTCAGGCGGGAGCCTCAATCTGTTTGGGTTTTTTGGGACCTCAGGCGGAAACCTCCTTCAGTTTGGTTTTGTTTTGACCTCTCAGGCGGGAGCCGCATCTTGTTTGGTTGTTTTTGGGACCTCTCAACCGCGAACTTCCTCTTTTTTTTTGTTGGACCTCTCACTCAAGAGCCTCGTCTTGTTTGGGCTTTCGGGGGAAACCTCAGGCGGGAGTCTCCTCCTGTTTTTTGGGGACCTCTCAGGTGGGAGCCTCCTCGCAGTGAGTTGTTTGGTAACCTCTCAGGCGGGAGCCGGCGCTGATGGTAATGGAGCTGCCATCCAGGAGAGGGAATCCAAGAGGAGGGGGAGGACGTGGAGGAGAAGGGGGAGGAACACGATGATGCTGAGGAGGATGCGGATGCGGATGCGGATGCGGATGAAGAGGAGGAGGAGGAAGGAGGAGGAGGAGGAGGGGGAGGAGGAGGAGGAGGATCTGCTAAAATGAAAGAGTGTGACTGGGGTAGCATCCGCGAGGATAAGATGGAGTTTCTGGGTGCGGCTATCGTGTGGCTATCGTCGCGATTGTCCGTATCGTTGGAGATTCGTCCCCTCCTCCCTCTTCTCCCCCCCCCCCTCCCATTATTGTATTCTCTTTCCTCCTCGTCATAATTTCGCTCATCTTCCCACCTCCCTCTCTCTGTCTCCCCCTCTCTCTTTCTCATTGTACTTCCCCCCTGCTCCACCCCAATTCCTTTCTCCGGTTTTCTCTTCTCCTCGCTCTCCGATCCACTGTCTTGCTCTACCTCGTCCTCGTCCTGCCTGCTCCCCCTATCCCGTCGATCGCCTTCCACCCTCTTCCTTCTCCTGTTGAGATTCATGCTCTCCTCATTCCGTTCCCCTTCTCCCCTTCTTTCCTTCCTCCTCCCTCACCCTCCTCCTCATCATTCTCTCTCACACACTCTCTCTCTCATTACTATCTTATTATCTCGTTTTCTCTCTCCTTCTACATATCGGAAGCACAATACTTCGCCACTGTTGGAACGCAGTGGTCTGGTCCTCGTCGGAAGCGCAATGTTTCCTTCTCGTCGGAAGCGCAGTGTCTCCTCCTCGTCGGAAGCGCAAAGCTTCCCCCTCGTCGGAAGCGCAATGTTTCCTCCCCGTCGGAACGCAACGCCTTGGATCAGTCGAAGCGCAAGGCTTCGTGCTTGTCGGAAGCGCAATGTTTCCTATTCGTCGGAAGCGCAATGTTTCCTGTGTGTCGGAAGCGCATTGTTTCCTTTCTGTTGGAAGCGCAATGTTTCCTCCTCGTCAGAAGCGCAATGCTTCAGGTGTGGTGGAACCCAGTGTTCTGGATCCATCGAAGCGCAAGGCTTCCTCCTCGTCGGAAGCGCAAGGTTTCCTCCTCGTCGGAAGCGCAACGTTTCCTCCTTTGTCGGAAGCGCAATGTTTCCTCCTCGTCGGAACGCAATGCTCTGGACCCCAGACATTTGACCATGCATAACATGCCAGCGGGTCCTTGACCCGCGCGCACCGCCTTGTAAGCGGGCGCAGTCAGCCCACCGCCACCGCGTCATCACGCATTCCGTACATCACACTACCAGGAGCACTGCATCATGCCATCGCTATGATTTGGCGCCGCCAGATGAAACGGCAGACACACGTGCTCGATTGCATTCAAGGCTCATCACCCGCATCGTTTGTTAGGTCAGCGTTCCAACTGAGACGGCGCCCCTGGTTCGATCAGGGCGATGCTGGGGGCGTTGATAAGCAGCG